CAGCTTGTGGAGCAGTTATCGTCCATTTATCGTTTAACTGTTTAATATATCGTGATATTGATTTGAGGCCATATCACTCATCCCTAGCCCATGCACACTTATGATCCCCAAAACCCCCTGAATCATCATGCCTATCCTGTCCCCTTGGCTTTTCAGGCACTCTCATGCACGTTTGCCCTAACCTGCTCCACTCCCTGCTCTCCTCTCTCCACATCTTCGGTGACATTCATGCTGTATAAATGTATGAGACTGACCATCAGACATGCTTTCTTTGCTGAAACCACTGCCTTGTGGAGATTCTGCTCATAATAATATACCCAGTCTGGAAAATGCTCCTTCTTTGGTCACTCACATTAGAGTTATATTAAACTGTTCGACCAACGTGGAGTATCAAACACCAGGCCACTGTTTCACCTTATCCTTCGCCATAAAAAGTATCAAAAACTACAGATATTCAGACATTCACGCTACTGACCAAGGTTTGATGAAAGATACTCTGCAGAGATCTATCAGTGATATTTTGAGACTTACATTTGACACACTTGAAAAGCTTCGTCTTCCTTCGCTCCTCCTTCTTTTGGGGTCCCTCAGGGGTCTATCTTGGGTCCCCTCATATCAGAGTTGTCAGATGAGAAATATAGAATTGTTGTAACCGAGACTCAAAAGTATCGTCACTTTGGGAAAATTATCGTGCATACATTACTGTTGCATGATAGTCACATAGAGTCACCCTGTTAAGCGTCCTACGATTTTGTGGCTACAGTTTTGTGGTCATTCACTGCCTTGCCCCACATCAGCAGCGTATGATCGGACTTCCCAACTGAGCGTGATTGACAGCCAATCGCGCTCATTGTTCGTCGTCACTCAAACTACGATGGGATGAAAACGTCACGTGGTTAAAGACGCCTTTAGGATTCGCAAATAAAAACTGAAAAATAAAGTGTCTGGCAGACTGAGACAGTCCTACTGCACCACATGTTCATGAAATTGTCAAATTATCCTACATTTAGCCTTTTTTCTGGGTTATCGATCGTACAGAGGGCGAAATTATCGTACAAATCTGATAATTATAGTACACCTAGCAACCCTGCCTTGTATTCACTGCCTTCTCTAAAAAATTCCTGCATAGGCATCATATAAAACTCTTATTGTTATAAATCGGGGGCTCATGGCTGCAATAATGCACGCAAAGTCAGGTTTGGTTCTTTTATGTTTACAGCAATCTGGCTTAAATTATCCCCAATTTTATCTACCACAATATACTGAAGTTTGCTCCAATCAATTCACCTTCAAGTTTCCCAGAAGAAACTCACAGTGAGATCATTGTGCTTTTACACGCTGTAACATTCACTTATTCACGCCTGGGGGTATAAAATAGTGCTGCAAACATATGCTGCAACAGTTGTGACACATTCTTTTGATATTCATACTTTTAAGTGTGTCGTTTTAGTTTTTTTTCCCCTCATTTCACAGCTGCACCAGATCAGTTTGTTGCTAAACCATCTTGCCTTTTCCCCAGTGGGTTTTGTCTGTCATCTCTTCGATCTTGCATGAAGCCCGCCCTAAACTTTCTCTGTAACAAACTACTTCTTGTGTCTCTCGGCCCCGCCGAACTTTTTTACATACTGGTGCGTTAGCTCCATCTGTCAGCACAAACAACAGAAGAGAGAGAGAGATCCTCTGTAACTGCAGGGTCCTTACATCAGCAGAGCAGAGCTAACTTTGAGGTTTTACTGTAATTGCTGTCAGCCTCGGTGAAAAGGGTTCCGTCATCTTAAGCATCAGGTTTGTATTAGTCATAGTTTGAGGTAAACCCCCGTCTGCTGTCTGTGGTCCTGTTCTCCATGGGGTTCAGATGTGGTTGGATGTCATCTGTGGGTTCATGAGAGGTATCTCAGCTTTGGTCTCCACCTTCATGAATTAATCAGAGGGGCACTTCAGAGGTGTGACACTGACTGGAGGTCAAAACTTCACAGCGGCATGTTGCTCTCTTTCCTTTAGAAGAGATTATCCATCAGGGTGTGAAAAGGCGACTACAGAATGAAGCATAATTTATTCAACTTGTTTAAAGCTTTTGTGTCACTTTTTTTCCACATTCATGCATTCATTCTATTTTGTGGAAAAATCTACCTTGGATTGGAAGCTTTTCACTTTTGCTGAGATAATAAACAGGATTTTTGAACCGTTAAACGTTGCTTGAAAACTTACTGTAAATGTATAGTGGTCAACAGATATCAGCTTTTCAACAGCCAACGCCGATACTGAGAATGAGAGGGCAGGTTGAGCAATGGCCAATATGCAATGCCGATATCACAGTGTTTTTTATTTTCCCCCCGTCAATCGTTAAGTCTTGGATGCATGTTTCATTTGGAAAGATACTGGGGATATCAGGATATTGTGAGGACAGATACCAATATTAGGGGTGGGAACCGATCCACAGTGGTGTGAGATCGATACCGATCTCACACCACTGTTCACTGTTGAATGAATGAACTGTTCACCTTGCCCTGTGAGTGAAGACATCACGCTTGACACTAGCCTTTTTAAAACAAGGTAACAAATTAACACAGATATAAATTTACTTTATTTATAAACAAATAACAAGCCGATATCCGATCTGAATATCAGATCGGTGCATCACCTTTGAAATATGTTACAGAGCATGATGCCACCTGGCATGTTTAACACTTTCCAGCCTCTATATGTTGTGCAGCTTTGCAATATCATCATTATATACATTATGTTGCATATCTGTTGATACTAACAAGTAGGCCTGTCGCAATAATCAATAAATCGCCTTATCCCTCTAAATAAAAACGAGGTCGGTCATTTTGCCAACCTCGATAATTGACGTCCGTTTGTTTTCCTCCTCTCTCGCTACCAAACATGCTTGATGAGAGAAGAGGTCTCACTCTGCGCATTGTTCTCGGCACCTGGGGGCGTTGGCTCTATAGCGGAATGAACGGAGTTAGTGAACCCTCCTGTCAGTCATTCAGTATCTTTGTCACGGGGGGAGGGGGGGCGCGCACAGGCACACGTAGGCGCGCACAGGCACACAGACAGACTTTTGGATACAGTGCTGCAAGTGAGCGTCGTGAGTGAAAAGCAAGCAAACAGAATGAACACGACAGCTTTGGCGTCTAAACCGAACGCAACAGCCCAAGTGTGGGAATATTTCGGCTTTAAACCAAATGAAAGAGGTGAGCCCACAAATACGGACGAGCCGATATGTCGTATTTGTTCCAAAGTTGTGGTGACAAAGAAGGGGAATACGACGAATATGCATGCGCACCTCGAGCACAATCATCCCCTCCATTTTTCCCAACTGAGCAAAAAAAGTACTGCCGGAGGTGCTGCGGAGCCATCGTCCCGACAGGTACCGCTTACTGAAGCGTTTGGTAAGCAAAGCAAATATAAACAAAACAGCGCAAAATGGTGCGCGCTGACAGACAGCGGAAATTAAACTTCATGACTTTTGACATGGTGTACTCGCATTATTATGCCATATATTATAATTTTCTATAATTTAAAAAACGGTGTCAATAATATCGTTTATCGGCAATAATTTGTAGCACAATTATCGTCCAGCAAAATTTGTTATCGTGACAGGCCTACTAACAAGTCACTGTTACATTTTAAAATGCATAGAAGACCCGATTATTGTAAATGAAAGTCATTTGACATTTGCTTGGGGAAACCATTATGATCATTTGAGCATGCAGTAAGAGAGTCTTTTTTTCGCTCCCATGTGCTTCAACACACACCATCTTCCACCTGGTCCTGCCCTGTTCTATTTCTGAGCTGCATAAAAACTAATTCCAGGCAGGAATTACATTCCATCCAAACTCTATTTGGCAGCAGACAGGATTTTTGCAGCCTGTATATACAGCTTTTTGAAGATGATCTCATGCAGCTGGCTCACTGTGTGTGCTGTCACCTGCCTGTCATCCCCGAGGGTGCTGGCGGCTGGCGCTTCCACCGGTGTGGGCACGGTGGCTTACGGTTGCTATGACATTTAGACAATATATGTGTGTGTGCGCATTGGAAGCTGTGTGAGTATCAGTGTGTACTTGTAAATCCTCCCTCACACTGCCTCAGGCGGATGTTTGTTTGTGCCTTCAAACGTTAAATTCCAGCTCTTTAGATTTTAAATTTGGGTGAAATCAAAAAGAAAATGCGCCAAAAACACTTTAAGTGCATTAACAAACTCTTACAGACTTTATACATCTCTGGATTCAACATGTTTCAGCTCCTGAGTTCACCATGTATACACTGTCATTTCTACTATGAGGCAAGCAGCACCAGCAGATGACATTTTTTAGCATATTTCCAGGAGAATTGGTGTTGGGTGCCAGCAGCAACTTCTCTCCATTGACCTCCTACAACACTGCAGAATCAAACACCTTTTGGCAACATTACCATGTGCTACAGCTAATTGGCAGGAGGCCAGGGTACATTGGAAATGTGTTAGTCTTAGTAAATTGCCTGGAGCGAATCTGCACGGCCATAACTGCGGAATGAAGACATCTCTCTCACTCCCTCCACCCCTGTCATCTCAGTCACAACCCTCGCTCTTGTTTATTCCGGCTCCCAGGGTCTCGGGCTCTTTCACAGCTAACTTGTTCCTGATATGTAGGGGATCAGGTGTCAACAAACTTTAGGTTAATTTCAGAAGCTCACAGAGTCTGGGTTTGTTACTGTACAGAGAAGCCATTTCACACATCTCTTCATTATCATATTATCACACAGTGAAGGTACACACAGCATGGTGTCACTTCCACTTACAAGACTGCACGGTGGAAACTTGATAACTATGGAGTCAAAAGGAGGCCAGGAAGCATTGCAAACACAAGTGAGGAATTGCAAACAAGAAAATACATAATATTGATTACTGAATTAGGGTTTTTTTTGCATTTACAATAATTTTTTGCATTTAGAAAACTTATTTCTTCATTTAGAAAACTTTGTTGCCCTTACAACATGTGTCTACATTTACAAAACATTCTGGCCTCTCTTTGACATGGAGGCGGGGTTAGATGAGTGACATGTCTAACCCCGCCCCCATGTCAAAGAGAGGCCAGAATGTTTTGTAAAAGCAAAAAGTTTTGTAAAAGCATAAAAATTATTGTAAAAGCAGAAAATACTTCATTTCTAAAAATTCAGTGATCAATTTTATGTTTTGTTTACAATACTTCACTTACATTTCTCCTTTTGACTCCATAGATAACTAACATGTAATTCATCTTAATTGGTGACAAGAAATTTCGGTAACCCTTTCTTTTACAGTACGCTTATTACCAGGTAATTAATAGGTAATTACTAGTAACAACATGAAATACTGTCTAGTTTTTCTTTTTTTCTGTACAGCTCCATTTTCAAAAGCTATTTGGGGTTCTTATTTTCTATGATTGACACTTGATACAGCCTATGGGCATGCAAAGATTGCGTAGCGATACGCTGTTTAAGCCAAGCATTTTCACAGCAACTCACCCGCCGAATCTGTACAACGCTACTGCACAAGTGGTGGTTCCAGGAAGCAGAGAAAATCCTGGAAATACGAGAGCAATTCAGCTTCAAATTTGTATGATGATGGAAGGTTACCGACCTGATAGCTAGACAGTATTGACTTAGTAGTTATCATGTAATTACCAGATAATTTCATGTTGTTACTAGGTAATTACCTGTTAATTACCTGGTAATAAGTGTACCGTAAAAGAAAGCGTTACCAAAATTTATGTTCTGAAGAAAAGGGCATTTTGTTTCGCAAGGGGGGGGGGAACACAACCTTCATGGTCACATCAGCCTTGTGCTTCAAAAATGTGGTACAGTTTGACTCTCTGTGGCTTGGAACAACTCTGTCAACTCCATCTGCTGCTGCTGCTGCAGGGCTGCCATCCTCCTCCTCCTCCTCCTCCTAAAGCACCCAGGGTCAGTACAGCCAGACTTTAGAGCAGATGATGTTAAAAAAAAAAGTTCAGATATCGAGCCAAGATCACTTGGACTCTATATTCATTGTGGTGTTACATGATCACTTTTCTTGCGGTATGTTAAAAGGCTGCCAGCAGCTTTTGAATTAACTGCAGTCTCTGGATGCTGCGCCTCTCGATAAAAGCACAATGTGTCTCACAAGGTCCGCGACGAGGTTCGTGACATAAATACATCGATGAACTCAAAGACCTGATTTCAGCTGAAAAGGAAAAATGACTTCTAATCACAAGGTTGTCAAAGAAAAGGTCGGAAACAAAAATAACTCTGAGGTTTTCAGCCTCTTCACGAACATTACTTGATAGGACACTCAGGCTGGAGGTCAGATTATTGTGTCTAGAAATTGAAGCAGGGAGTGAAATGACAATAACTTCAGTTTAGAAGTCATTCGTTTTTTTTTTAGATTTCCAAACATTCAATTTTTAATGTCAATCAGGCAGGATATAATGCGACAAAAATCTATAGTTCTAGATTTTAATGCAGCATAGAGCTGAGCGTCTCTTGTTCATACCATGCCTATGCAGGATTTTCTATAAAGAAGCGTAAACAGTGAATACAAGAGGACCCATAATAGACCCCTGAGGGACCCCAAAAGAGGGAGGAACATGAGAAGACAAGGTTTTTCAAGTGTGTGACAGATTAGAATCGGAGAAAAAGTAGACTACTCTTTGAACTACCAAGTTTCCTCTTCCTATTCTCCTATTTCTTAATCATCTCCTCTTCAAGCTGCTTATTTCTATCCTCCTTTTCCAAGTTTTGATGAATGGGTAGATTTAAATCAAAAAAGGCCTCTACTGAATTCAAAGTTGTGTGAAATTTGTTGGATATTAAACTCTAATATTATATTACTGAGAAGAAAAAGTGTCGAAGCTTTTTGAAGAATTTGATTGACAACTTAATCATAAACATGATCTCTTTCAGCTGAAGCAATCTGCGCTCATCTTTAGCCGCTCGCACTTGTCAAAGCAGATCAGCCGTGCTAAATATAGCTACGTGCCGATAAGGTTAGCAGCAGTGTGACAAATTGTCTCCTCTTATTTCCTTCTTCAGTCAATGCAGCAGATTAGATAATTGGTTCGAGCCTCTCCTCCCCTTTTTATTCAGTTTTTAAAGCACCTTCAGAGTTAACACATCAGAGCACGTAGCGGAGGGTAACAGAGTTCAAAGCCGCCTGCTCTGACCTGTCTGGTCATTTTTAAAGCTTTGAACCGCTTCAAGGAGCAGCGAGGTGGGTTAAGCCTTCTTCAATGATCGCCCACAGGACTCTGTGTGGCTTTTATGTTACTTGACATGTGGGTTTTGGTCAGTGGTTGTGCAGGGGTACTCACAAGAGCAGTGGATTAAGCCGAATTCATCTGCGGCAGCAACCGATGAAGATGGCAGGCAGAGCTGGTGTTCATTTGAAAGGACAGGAAGTGTGGATGTGGATGATACTGGAGCTCCTTTTTGTGCAAAGGCTCATCATTGGATTAGCTGACAACAAGAATTATATGGCGTATCATCAGCTTTAGAAATGTGCACCACTATGAGGCTTGTGGCCCTTGTATGGACATCAACATAGCTGCTTAAAATCTCTGTTTTCCAAGCATCCTATTTCAAAAGCTAGCCACAGGTTTCAAAATAGCCAGGACATGAGCATGTTTACCCTCACGCCATATCACCTCCTCTTTAAACAAAACTCAGCCGACGCATGGTAATCGAGGAGACTTTGAATGAAAACTCACAGTATGTTCTTTGATAGACCCGATATATTACATAACCTCAGTATTCCTCATGCAAAGTCACTTCATACATTATGAAGTTGCATCCAGGAAACTTTACTTCAACCCCCCCACATGCTCCGTGTTTGCACTCCTCATAGCCTCACCAAAGCCCTGCAGGGTTGAGTGGCTGATCATCTCTCTAAATCGAGCTTTAATGGTAGGTGTTATAAATATGCATGAATTGATGCTCCTCATTCCTAATCAAATCAGTGTGCACAACAGAGAGCATGGGATGGATTGATGCATAATCTATTTGCACGCAGTTTACTTTGAGACAAAGGCTTTACCTGAATCAAATATTCATTGGCTCTATAAGCAGTGTTAAGGCCCAAGCGCATTGAAAGTGATAATTGATGAGTCTTATTTAATGCTCTTCTAGTGCACTACAAGAAAATAGTTGGAAATACAAGCACCATAGACTCGGCAGTAAATTAATGAAAGGTCTCCACTTAAAATCTCGGTGGTTGTTTTTTGGCCAAGGTCTGGTTTTATTAGTCTCTTAAAAGTTGAGGTAAGACTTTCTAATCAAACCTGAACTCAAATTTCTGCAAAACCATACAGTAAAGAGTCCTATAGGCTAATTACACTGTCGTAGTTTGATCACTATGGAAGCGTATTGCATTCACCAAAACAAAAAAAAAAAGCCACTGTTTTTAGACTAATTTTTTTTCTGTTATTCAGAGACATTTTTTTCTGTTTTTCAGATTATTTTTTTGTTTGTTTGGTTTTTTTTTTTCTGTTTTTCCGGAGTAATTTTTTTTTCCTTTTTTTTTTTTTTTGAGTATTTTTTTTTTCTGTTTTTTAGATTTTTTTGTTTGTTTTTAAAAGTTTTTTTTCTGTTTTTCAGAGTAATTTTTTCTGGGTTTTTTGTAATTTTTTCCTTTTTTTCCCCAGAGTATTTTTTTCTGTTTTTTTGACAATTTTTTTTCTGTTTTTCAGAGTAATTGAAAGAAAAATTGGTTTGAAAAACAGTAAAGAAAAAAAAACTACTCAAAAAACATTTCCTTTTTTTTGGAAGTAAATGCAAAACACTTTCGTAGATCATCTCCCTCTAATGACAGTTTTATTCTGCACGACTTTTTTACAAATGATGCTAAAGAAGAGTTGTTATGCATTGGAGTGTCTTGATCTTCTAAACCCTGTCTTTGCGTTTACCATCCTTGCAGTGCACCACATTTAAATACATAATTTAACACGAGAAGAGATGACCTTTGCTGCTGTAAAACACTGTTTATCACCAACAGTTAAAACTTACGGGGAAACAGATTAATGGATGAATGATTCGCTGGATTTACATGATGTGAACCAAATAACAACCTGTATTTGTGGATAGCGGACACACTAGTCTAACAACACACAGTTTGCAATATTTGAACCTTTTGATACCTCAAACACTTTGCCATTACTGCCAAACAAAAAGACAAAATAACAGCTGCTTTGTCCAAAACTGGTGCACCAGTTTTTTTGGGTTTTTTTTGTTGGTTTCTGAACACTCATCTGTGTTCCTTCAAATTCTCTGAATCCCTCTTTTCATGGACAGAAAAAGGGTTAAAACATAACCGATGAAAGCCGTTGAGTGAGCCCATTCAACTGATTTTTTCAAAGCCTTTTTTCTTTTTTTAATGGCATAAAGCTTAGTTACAATATGAATGGCTCAATATGATGATGGCATCTCAAGTTCAAAAAATTAATCGGTTATCAAGAACAGAAATTGCGCACTTGATGGACCAATCAAAGGGAGAGAGTAAAATCTGTACTCTGTATTTTCCCCGGCCTTTTCGCACCCTCAGAGCTCTCAGACAAACACAAACCCTCCCAGATGTGCATAATAAGTCATATTTTGGCAGAAACGTTCGCAGCTCATGAGACATTGGGACGTCATGCGACTGATACAGGATTATTCGCTACATTTGCTGGGTAGTGGCAGGTGTTGTTTTCCTCCTGGCAAGCAGATTATGTTTGCTCAGTCTTAGCTAATGTTGTGTCAACACTTCTATAAAAAGGTCAAATCCCTCTTTTTAAAAGATGGAGTGAAGTCTAAACCAACCATTGGCAGTGAGGGGGCTTTTCTAATGCTCTCCCTATGTTAAGAAAAAGGCTGCCATCTTTAAAAGTTCCATGACAGACTATCAGAGACATTGCAAAAGTACAGAAACTGTGTTGGAAGTCACACTTTGACCCCTAATGAAGCTCCCTTCAGTAAAGAGCAAAGATTAAATACAGTCAGGAGCTTCAGCATGAGTCCTCCTTCATCAAGTAAAAAACAGGAATGCTGCGTAACCATGGTTTTTAAATCACACAATTAAGGACAGCTTCAGAAATAACAGCGAGAAAG